CTTCCATTATAGTTTCGTTCTCCTTTTTTTCTAGAATAACAGAGGGGTTATACATGTAGCGTATTTTACATATAACACAGTCACATGGTTCTCACGTGTTATTTCAGATCTGGCTGTTCCTGTCTCTCCTGGCAACAGTCTTCAGTTTCGCCAGCGAAGCCATTTCCTCAGTGAAGGAATACAGAACCCCCTCAGACTTCGACCCGGCCGTTAACAACTCCACTTTCCGCGAGATGATTACAGCTAATTTAAGCAACAAAGAACTGATGCGCCTTACCACTTACGACAACGCTGTTAACGACATCCTCCGCGATGTAGCGCAGTACTTTTTCACCTTGGACATCATATTGAGAATGCTGTCTTCTCCCGGCAGATGGCACTACTTCAAGTCCGTGTTGAATGTCGTGGACTGCGTGTGGCTGGTGTCTGCCTGGGTGCTCTATGCCTTTGTCCTCTTGTACTGCGCCGAGTGCTGGTGGACAATGTCCACTCTGGCGTTCCGCACGATATTCTGGCTGTACTTCATTAATAATAGCCTGCGCGTCTTCCGCGTGGTGCGCATCGGATACCTCTTCATGCCACTGAAGGTGATTTTTCTCACAATTAAGGCAAGCATAGCAGAAATCGTAACTCTCCTTTTTCTGCTAATCCTTGGAGCCCTGATCTTCGGTCCTTTGATATATCTGGTTGAAGTTTCCAATGACAAATCATCCATGTATAACATTCCTATTGGCTACTGGTGGGCAATTGTTACCATGACGACTGTTGGCTATGGCGACCGGTATCCATCGGAGTTGTTCGGCTACGCTGTCGGAATTGTCTGCGTCACGGTCGGTTTGGGATTCAGCGGGCTGCCAATATCGGTGATAAGCGCCAATTTTAGCAGGTACCAGGCCTTTGCGGCATCCATAAAGGCGAAAAAATCTCAATCACGGGGCAGTTCGCAGGAGTCGGCGTCAAATGCCATTTCACCTGAACTGACATGCAAAGGATAGTGTGACAACACAATATGTCGCACAAACGTCATTTTATTTATTTTTTTTTCGTTTTTTCTGTGATTAATGTGTTTTGGTAATGTGTGTTTTAAAAAGTCAAATCTCTTACATAGCTGTAAACATTCATTTATATACATGTACCATGTCCTGTTATTCAATATTTTTAAATATTATTAAAATACTTGAAGATTTTAAAAACTTGTTATTGCGCCGACTCTGCGACTGCCATGGTCATCCGTGCCCTAGTAACCTCAAAACTACATGTAGATTACTGTAACTAGCTAAATGGTTGCAGTAGAGAAAGAACAAACAAATTCAACGTATCCAAAACATCTCAGCCTGTCTGCTTATTCGAACTACTATGGAGAATCACATGACACCGATTTAAAAATAACATCGCTGGGTACATGTCCAGGAATTTTATTCAAACTATTAATAAACTGTATACGCTCATGCTGCTTTTTATGGATTTGTACCAAGTTCTTTGTGAACTGGTATCTTATTTCTCACCATGTTATGATCTAAGGACCAGTTATTAATTTAATAATTAAAAAAAAAAAAACTCAATGTGCAAGGTTTAAAACATTTGGACAAAAATCTTTTTAATACGAGACCCAGATTCTAGGACAATTCCCCCCGGGACAACCCCCCCCCCCCCCCCCCCGGACGATTCCCCCAAGAAATATATATTTATATACAAATGTAAAGTAGGAAGTGTAAAATTTAAAACATTTCATCCAATTTATTAATATTTTTAGTATGATAATACAAATTCATCATGAAACAAATTATTTTAAAACAAATTCCCTTTTCATTTAGTACAAGTACAGGAAGATTTATTAAGTATCTACTCGAAGTATAACCACCTGTTCTTCAGGTATATATCTTGATTGAGTAAGTCATGAATCAAGGTGCATCTCTAGGGGAATTGTCCTGATACCGTGACCCCGTATGAATGGAATCAGTTACCATCAGAAGTAGGGAATATTTTAAAAGAGAACTTCAAACTTATTTTTTAAATAAAAACTAAACAATATAATTGTATATTTTTCTGTTTACTTTTTAGAAAGAACATTATAATTGGAGATTCCTTTCTGTATTCCTAATACCATTCCTTTCAATCTGAATTAATCCTTTTAACTTCGTACTTTAATTATATAATATTTTATTTGTATTTAGTCTACAGAACATACTATTATGGATTTTAGACTCTAAATAAATAAATATTATTATTATTATTATTATTATTATTGTTATTATTATTGTGAGTTTTTCTTTTTATGAAATGCAAATGGATGCAAAGTGACACGACCATCTGACATTTCCATTTGTTCTGCTTACTGACTACGTCACGTTTTCCTTTGCCAGTTTTTATCAGTTTTATATTTCTAATTTACTATCAATTTTTCATTGTCCCTCGGTTTATAATGACGGGAACAGCAAATAGTCTCTGATGAGAATAACCGTGTTTCTCCCTACATGTATTAGGCGTCACCGGTGTGGCATTTCCACCTTTCTTACAAGTAGCATGGTGACATGAATGACTCGACTAGGTCACAATCCATCGTTTTTGCTTTCAGGAATCATTCTTTACTTAACCAGAGCCATTTTCAAATATACAGAAAACATTAGACAAGTTTTTGTTGTTGTTGTTATAGAAAAAAACACGGTAATGACATGCTATTCACTTGATTTCAGGTAATTGAACTATTTCTTTAAGCAGATTAAAACATTTTGGCTTACTGGTAATGTTTAGACCAATATTCGGATCAAAGTTATTTTGTGAAACCCGTCCTTGTAGTGTTCACAATCGAAAATCCCAGCTACCAGAACGTAAAAAATAACCAGATATATCCCCATGTATGGTGGTGACGCCTGGTGTTCAGATTTTGTGTTAGACGCATTGCAGGTGTATAAAGGACCAGGAACTTTTTATCTATGCATTTTAAACGATTCATTAATATATTGCACAATATAAAAATATTTCATCTTAATCCACGAATTCACAAAAATTGAATATATCTTTAATCTTTGTACAGCTTTATTAGTTTCAATGCAGTGAGTAGCAGTATTGTCACTACAGACAACAGATTTGGTAAAAGTTATAAATAATCGGTAACCTTGAAAACCTACTCGCAGCAGCACCTACTGTATACGGAAGAGTTCACTTTTATCTGACTGCAAACATGCAAAAATATACACATCTGCTTTCAACTGGGGGGGGGGGGGGAGGGCACCCTTATGTAGGGATGACGATCCTCTTTGAATGAAAAGTTAATCAAGGTTTGGAGGTTCAGCTTTCAGGGAAAGAATTTACTCTGGCAGGCAGGAAAATCAATACGCCAGACATTGTCATCTGACCATGTATTATTCATCAAAACATCTATTGATAAACATTCAGTGGAATTATGGTGACATGAATATGAGTACTATACCAAAGCTAGTCCGTTAAAGGCGTGCGGTGACAGGACCCTTAAGGAGCAAACGTTCGCTTTTCCTAGAAATTCTAACACTTTACCTTAAATCACCAAGGTATATTACAGTACATCCAAAACATATCACTAATTCAAGACCCATATTCTTGTTTTAAGTCCTAAGGCAAATAAAGTTTAGTTTTTGTCTCACCCTTGTAACGGAAGCTGAAATGGCGAAAATAAGGAATGCTGAGCTGTGAAAATCATAGAGAAAATAGAGCAATAGGTCTTAGTTACTACGAGTAGGATTATTTAGGATGCTTTCACCTACAGTTATAAAGATATTGCAAGTGCATGTGCCAGTGTATGTAATATTACCGCGCATTCCATCCAAGCTGCATTTTATTTTCTGCCATGCCTCATAGAGGCCTTTTAATTCAAATTAACACACACACACACACACACACACACACGTACAAGAATGATTCAGATAGCATGACTTGCACAAATATATGTACAAGAATGAAAAAATTTCAGTCTAGTTACTAAATTAATGGTACTTACAAGCCAGGAAAAAAGTTAATGCTGATATTGATTTAACTTCTTAAAGTCGATTCAAGGTAATCCAACAGTGGACAAAAGATATTCAGCATTGGCTGAAGTCGCCATTAACCTTCCACTTTAGTATTTTGAAAATCGATATATTGCCAGCCGTTTCTATTTATTTTGATTCCCTTTCATATTTATGGCATGTTGTGAAATATGTGCACTATTGTGACTATCGTGTGTCTGTGTACGCCATCACACACTCATTCATTTTTATATCAATCTGAGCAATTTTGTAACCCTAATTTTCCGATAAAAAGTAAATTGCGAATCAAAGGCAATAATTCATTTAATTCGACCATGAAACAAATGTATGGAGGTTCAGTGCAAAAAACTCATTATGAATTTTTTCTCCAGTTCGAACAGCCATCGGCCACCATTCTTTTCTCTCTACATTGAATGCCTGTCTTTCAACTTTTCGGATATTCATAAGACAGACGTAAATAATTTCAGTTCAAACCAAGAAATATCCGTAGTTGTGTTCTCGGGTTTTTCGCAATTTCGTAGAGGAAGAGAACATTTAAATATACCGTAGAGTTTGGACACTTGAAATGCATTACTTCCAGGGTACGTGTCAATGCCATGTACCCGTAGATCAACACTGACTAAATAGCCAGATCCATTACCACTTCAATAACGGTAATGGCATTGTCAACCTGGATATAACGATTAATTCGAGGGCAGGGGGAAGTGGAGAGGAATCTAGACACTTGCAGTGATACAAAATAAACCAAAGTGGAATCAAATCTTAATAAATCCGTCTAAACATTCACAGTATCGTCACATAGAACAGTAGAGTCAGGGCGAACACATTAAAAAAGAAATTCATCACGTGGCCTGTCCATGCAAGATGGGTGACAACCCCACATCCTCCTGCATCCCCTTTTGGTGTCGGACGGAAATGGCTTAGAATTCTATAGCATGCATATTATAACGTATCGACTTCAGTCCATTACATTTCAGAGATATTCGGCGAAACATCGCCATGAACATCATACAGGTTGCCGCTGCGGGTAAAGACGGCTATTCTACGAACAGGGGAAGGATAGATGTTAGAAGTGCAAGAGGGGTCTCAAAGACCTGTGAGAAACAAACGATACATGTGCAGCCGACATCCCAATTGTTTCAGTCCGAAGAGGCGTCAGACGCATCATCAGAAATATCGAAGAAAAACAGAGAGCGAGTCACTATCAACATCGCTGGGACCAAATTTGTTACGACGTGGGGGTCCTTGGCTAAACTTCCCAATTCTCGCTTAGGTAGACTGACAGTGGACGACATAGATTCTGGAGAAAATGACATCTTTTTCGAGAGAAACCCGACCCTTTTCCCGTACATTCTCGCTCTCTACTCCACCGGTCAGTTTTCTTTCCCGCACAATTTCTGCGGGGCAAGCATAGTGAACGAGATGGAATTCTGGGAAATTTCAAGGTGTGCGCTGTCCCCCTGTTGTAAAGAGATTCTGCTGGAACAAGAGACGCAGCAGGAAGAAAACGAAGCAATTGCTAAACAGTTTAGCCAACTGAACTTGGCAGAAATGGCGCCTGATGACAAAAGTTGTGGTTGGAGAGTAAAACTTGGACGTTTCTTAGATGACCCTAAGTCATCGAACGGGGCTAAGGTAAACACACACGCATAAACACACACACACACACGCACACACACACATACACACACGAAACGAGGCAGGCACATTATACGCTCTCATACCTTTTACAACAAAGTGCAATTTTCAAGGAATCCCTTATTAACCACTAATTGAGTTGATCCATTTACAAACCCAGCACCAGAACTACAATTCATTAAAATTTATTTTTGAAGTGTGTAGTTTTTGAATCATTCTTAAGCAGTAATGGAAATTTCTTTTGGTTTATTTTGCTTGTGGCGGTAGAAAAGTATGAATTTAAGAGTTACACGTTTATGTAGACCACAGCTACTTCAGCAGGTTTGAATAAAGCTCAAATTAGCTAAGAGCGCATTCCCAGAATTAAGATCGATCTTTCTAGATCGACCTAACTCCCTGGGGGTTCACGCTAAATTGCAGTCAGCCGACCGCGCACGGAAGTTAATTACCCCCTTACAGCTTTTAGTAGGCGGGGCAGTCATTAAAGCCAGCTAAGCGCACAGTAATCTAGTGAGACTCCCCACGGGGATATATCGATCTAAAATCTGTGGGAATGGGGTCTAATATATGCACAATTAAGCGTGCCCAAGCGGTAGCTCGTAACATGCACAATCGTGAGCGGACATTCACATTAACCAATCAATCATATATACACACACTGGACAATAGAAGTGTCACCCCCCCCCCAAATCAGAGTAATCAAAGTAGGCAGATCTTGGGTAGTTATAATGCCTGGTCTACTTATAATTTGACTAATGAGTATAAAACCGCTGTACCATGGAATTGTATTGTTGGTCTTGTACATGTACAGCAAATGTTATTCCTGTCTTCCTCCAATATGGCAAGATACAGGCAATTATCTAACGGTTATAGGTGCAAGTTATTAACCTGAAGAGGCGGAATATAAGCAATGTCATAATATCAATACAGTTGAATTGTTCAGTCAGAACCGTGCAGAGGGCCAGGTCTCGGTATAGAAACACTGGATCAAGAGACAAATTGCCTCTGATGGGTGGTCCAGGAAAAACTACCGACCGTGAAGACCGACGACTGATTTTGATGCCCAGGTTGTCAAGGTTCGACATTGCTTGTCAGTTGACAACACTGTGGAACAATTTCACACATAATAATCTGTCTGTGAAAACTGCTAGGCATCGGTTACATGCTCAGAGAGTGTACGGCAGGGTAGCGAGACGGAAAGCTCTTATATCGTTACAAAACAGGCAACGTAGAGTGAACTAAGGCCAACAGGATCTGGAACTGGACAGTCCATGACAATTGGTCATATATAGTTTTTTTATGAGTGTCGCTTTGATCTGACCTCTGATGACAGACTTGTCCGATGCTGGCGAACTGCTGGTATAGCATTTGAACCACATGTACTGAATTTTCGAACCCGGAGCAGCATATTCATCATGGTGTGGGGCTGCATCAGCATCCATGGCGTGGGTGAATTGGTTATAGTTGATGGAAACATGAATCATCAGAAATATATCGATGTTTTGGAGTCAGGCTTGCTGCCATCTATTACTAACATGTTTGGTGACAGGAATTATCCATTTATTCACCAGGATGACAATGCTCCTTGTCACAGACCCAGAGCAGTTGATGATTGGTTTGACCAACAGGGCATTCGCAGGGTGATGTGGCCTGCCCAGAGTCGGGATGCAAACATAATAGAAAATGTGTGGAATGATATTTCAAAACTTTTGACAAATGGCCGTCCAACAAGCAGACAAACTCTGTTAGATTCAGTGTGTCATGCTTGGGCCAGCATAAGCCCTCAACGCATCAGGCAATTATATGAATCCTTGCCTCGCAGACTGGCAGCTATTATTAGGTCACGTGGCTATGCCACTAAGTACTAATTTTGGACTTGAAACTGCATATCTTGGTAGAATGTATATTTTGTTCTCATTTTTTTT